ACACACACACACACACACACACACACACACACACACACACACACACAGGTGCAAACAGGTTTTGCTGCTGGATATTGATCATGTACATATTTGTTTGCAGTGTGCCTGTGAATGTGTGGGTGTTGCATGTCAAAGATCTCAATGCTGCATGACAAATTAACCCTTTATTTCCCCTAAGTGTACGCTTTAGTCATTCCGCGACACAGAGCTGCTTGGAAACCACCTGCTGCGCAGAGGCACTCAAATGTAGGGATGTAGTGGAGTGTAAACCCGCCAAAATCCAGTTTGCAATGAATTTTAGTCTGACATCAGTGTACAGATCTAAATGCGTGGCTTTTATCAATGGAAAAATGTAAAATAATTAGAGATTTAATCTTTAATCAAAAACAACACATGGTTTCCTTATTCGCCTTCAATTTTCCCTTACGTAGCTTCAAAGCTTTTATCAATTATCAAACAACAACAGGTAACCTCCAAGAGCAATTAGATCATTTAGCTTGAGGGAGTTTGCAGTTCAAGCTGAACTACTCCTCCCAAGGCTTGTGCATAGTGTACATATGGAATAAAGTGTATACTGTAATTTGAAAGCTGTAAAAGTAGAGCTTTGAAGATCATATCAAAACATGAGTTATTGCTTCGTGCCAGTAAGTAGGTCTGTGCAACTTTGTAATTCAGAAAGCAATTATGAGTACACAATGTGCAATTCGTGATAAAGGGTAACGCAGTGAGGTAGACGCATCTTTGAAATCATTGTGATTTAGATTTTGAAATTAATTTAATATTAAAAACCTTTTATTTAGGTATTGCTTGTTAGTGACAGATCTGTTACAGAGTATTTAGGGATAAGGAAGTGCACACTCTCAAAAGGACAGGAGCAACAAAGAAAAAGGGACATCTCTAGTGTGCTCTGGATTAAGGCAACATTTAAGATCTTTTTTCTTTTTTTTTTACTGTATGGTCACAACAGAGCAAACCCGAGGGGACCTTGGTATCTCAAGGGAGCGTCCCACTCCCACACCGCCGCTGTGGAGGGCTACATAATATGACATGTACAGCATGTATTAGATGTAAGTGACAGATGGGTTAAGAGAGGGAGAGTGAGAAATGTATCTCGTATTTGTGTCTCACATGCTCTACTTCTTCTTTCTGCCAAAGCACAGGGGGTGGACAGAATAACAGAAACACATACTTATATTTTTTCAAAGATGTAAAGAAAGAAGGATAATGCAAAGACCATGACACAGTACGTATAGCAGGGATACTGACTAGCAACAAGAGATTAACCCTTACAGTGCAGAGCACAGTAGCCAGACAAGGTGAGACAGACATAGCACATGTACACCACAGGTTTCATTTTTCACTTTCTACACACACACATCCTTTACTCTTTGTCTCACACCAGTGGACGTCTCAGAGTTTACTGGACACTTCCAACTAAGATGTGATTACCTCCTCTTTTTTTTTAGGTTTAACAAATAAAGGTGTATTCCAAATAATGGCCAAAAAAGAAAAGTGCCTCTTCCAGTTTTGCATTTGGAGGTGGATGGTTATCGGCATGATCGGGTGGGTGTTTTTACAAAGGGAGTGGTTGGCTGACATATAAGGGGCACAAGAGGGGGCTCTGTTTGCAGTGTCAATATTTACAGTGACACATGCTGGATGAATCCTGGAGTTGTGTGTGCGTGTGTTCTGTGTGTGTGTGTGTGTGTGTGTGTGTGTGTGTGTGTGTGTGTGTGTGTGTGTGTATGAGCGGGAGACAGTAAGACGAAAAGACAGAAGTATCAGCATGAATGGATGTCAGATGGCATGCTCTGATGAACAGATTTAAGTCTTCCACAACAGGACTTCTTTTGGAGTGTGTGTACTCTCATCTACGTAAAGCAGAGCTCGCAAAGTCCCAGAGCAGTGGAAGGAGTTGAGTTGTAGCATTCTCAACAATAAAGTCTGGAAAAGCCCACTGGCACAGTGTAATGAGATTTAATAGATGGCCAATCACAAGTGGACTCTGTCACAATCTACAAGCCTCCTTTGCATTGCAAATCAGAGAAATGCAAATGAGGAGGGGGAACACATGCCGTGTCAGTACCACTGCTCTGCTCACTACACTATCAGTATCTCTTGTTCTACGTGCTTCCCCTTTTTTGCCAACCTTGTATTTACATCAGCTTCACATGTCTTTATTCTTCTCTTTAGAATACTAAATCCGCATTTATCCTATTGACATTTATTTTCCTTTATCTTACTTTTTCCCCCGCTTCACATCCCTTCTGTGTTCTCTAAGTCTGCTTTTAAACAGGTGAGAAATTGCAAACAACCTGCCGGCAATATGCAGTTTCATGATTCAACATTATGACTCGCTCAGCTTGAAGTTCTCCGTTTGTCCTGCAAACTAAATCTAAGCGCAACTTTATGCTGTTTGTTTTCAGCCTTTCAGTCTTACTTCTTCATAGTTTTCTGTTTACACATGAGCTCCTGGCCCCCAGCTACGCTTCCATCTCATTCATCACTATGTTGATTCAGAGGTTGACTATTGTATTTATACTGCAAACAAAGCAGCAGGGAGAGGCACCCATAATGTGTCCCCATACCATAATGAGCTTTTTCCTCTCGTGCAGAGCGACTGAAATGATCTTACTGCCATCTAGTGGTCCAACATTTTCTTTGTAAATTGAGCTGTTAGGCCCCTGCATCGTTTTAAATTCAGTAAATTATAACACACACACACACACACACACACACACACACACACACACACACACACACACACACACACACACACATGGGATACCTCATGCAGTGGATGTTGATTGAAAAACATTTATTTTATTGCTCACAGTGCTCAGAGGTTGGAACAGAAATGTACAGTCAAAAAGCCAGATGGCAAACATCTCTAATAACTCACCAGTACCAGTATTCATTTTGGAATTCATCATTGAAGGGCTTCATTAAAAATGTATATGATAATTGTTAACGATAAGATTAGTTTACCATAAGAGATTAGTCTTAAGGTAGCTAGCATGTAGCTATCAGAAGCTATCTGCACACATCCAATTCAAAGACAACATGGGCAAAATCCAAGTGCTGATGAAGAGCATGTGATGTGATTGAAAGCTCCAAAAACAGCTACTAAATGGACCTTGTTTTGACATATATTTCTAAACTGCTGGTCAAGAATGAAGTTTGAAGCAAACACTAATTAATTTAGTTTTTGACACGGTGCATCATCGTCTCAATGACGACCGCAGTAACACAAATGAAAAACACACGGAGGAGAAACAGCATTTACACGTTTCTCAGTCAGAGCAGAACTAGATTGACTCAAACACACTTTGGCAGAAAAGGGAAAGAATTGTTTACTTAGTAGTGAGCATGGGGACAAGAATATTTTAAACCATCAGACAACTGACCACACAATATGTAAATATAAAGATTATAATATCTGGCAAAACAGTTCAATCTGGGGTGGAACTGCACAACAGGATTAGATGATTGAACACAGTGGTTACTTGTGAACATGTATGACGCTTTAAGGGGGTAAAAAAGGGAACACATACCTCAACACATGTGTACAGTATCTTTATAGTTTACCAATGTATTGGTATTTCTGTTCAAATATGTCCATTCTCGTGTCCAATCTTATCATAGAAGCTGATGTACTGTGTATATATTTATTATACTAATCTCTTTTGAAAATGACAGTAAATTCACAGATTTTATGAGACAAACTTTGCAAGTTATTCATTGAAGTTAATTGATTCAAGTTATTTAAACACATACAGCAGATATTTGTAAACCAGTGCGGCTCAGTGACCCTGTATCAGTTTCTGAGAGGTATTGAAACACAATACTACAGTGTAGGTCGACAGTGCGGCAGTAATGTGTGACTTACAAGTAATAAAATACTTCCATTTTAGGTAGTATACACAGAGATAGTTCTGAGCTCATTCTTAGCAACCGCTGGTACTCGAGTCCTGCAAGATGGTCGGGTGATTCACCACCAAAAGTTTCAGCAAAGCCCATAGAGTGCTACAGTGAAGACATTAATACTCTACTTATAATTAGCAGAGCTATAGATTGTTATGAATGTGACCACTTTCTTACAACTCGCAATAGCCAACTTTATTGCACATAGAAAAGGCTTTAAAACTGCCAAAGAAATGATAGTTATATAATTGTTTTTACACTTTTTATGAGCATAACTTGTCAATATATCAGTGATAACCTTATAGATTATATTGTATGTAGAATATACTGTGTGTTGGCTGAGTTGTTAGGATCGTAAAGCTCAAGTTATTTCCTCTATAGCTCAGGGAAGACGTGGGACTCGACCATGCCGGGCGAGAATCTTAAAACGTGACAACCATAACTATACAGATACAGAGCGAAGTGGTGAAAAAAAAGAAGAAGAAAAAATGCTGTTCGGTACATCCTAAACCAACTAGTACTTTGAGACAATAGATGCATAAGTACCATTTTAGGATGAATTGTATATCTATATATATATAATGAATGATGGTATATGGTTTCCTTCATTGTCTTGATACTCACAGAAGGGTATTTTGAATTAAATTCTAAATTAAAGATATTTGCAATTACTAACTGACCCAAGTCCGTACGTGACATAAGATGCAGTGCACACAGTGCCTGCAGCAAATGTAATAAAAAAATATGAAAGCCATAGCTGGTGACAGAGCAGTGAGTCGATGCGTCAGAACAGGACCATTGGCACCCAATCGTAGCCTGAAACTGTGTAAAAGATCAAACAGGAAGCAAGTGGGTACATTACTGAGAAGAGTATTTCAGTATGCTGGTGGCTGAAGAAAAACAGCTGTAGGTGTAAGAAAGCTTGTCCAGAAAATGGTAAAACCCCCATTACACAATGCGTTTCACAGACAGACCGAGTTGCTGTTAAGGCTTTGTTGTATATGAGCTTGTAAAGTGAGGTTGTCAGATAGATAAATGCTCCCGTTGAGCTGTTACAGAGGTAACACCATGTGTTATGTTTCCAGTAAAAAGGTTAATACATTGCTGAGATTTTTTTGGCATGTGAAGTGCTGAGGTTGTACATCACAGTTTGTACATATTATATTGTTAATAACATTACACAAAACACAAAACACTTTGGAAAATTGGCTCCAGGTTTGTCCAACAAAACATCCAGCTGACATCAAGCCACTCAGAGACTCTTATTGTATCGGTCCGTTCACCGTGACACAGAAAAAACAGAGTACATTGTAGAGTTTGCAGTACCGTGACATACTTAGTGAGTTAAAAATGCTCTTCGGTGAAAAGTATACAAGTGAGACACTTGTATGAAAGAGCATCCAATAGAAGTGCAAGCTTTACAAAATGAGGAAAAGTGAAAAGAGCTTAATAGAGTGCATTGTCTAAAAGTTTAAAAAGCATAGTATAGTAGATATATTACTCCTTTTCTTTCATTTTTATGTCATCGTTTCCAGCGCAGTCCAGCTGACTTGTATATGATTTTGGCTTTTCAGTTTCATTATTGTTCTAGCAGCACTGTGCAAACACTTTAATACTCGTCTTCATTGATCCCTCGTCTGCCATCAGCTATAAACTATCAATCCCTGCATTTCCCAGATACTTTGAAGCAGATATCACCGGGGTAAAGAGCGAGGCAAGATTATCCATCCACTGCCCAAACATTAGTCTCTCGCTGTCTTCTTCCCCCCCCCCCCCCCTGCAGTGCTACAGTCCTCCGCTCCAGTAGAGGGAGATGTGTATCATGAAGTGAAGCCAGACTCCCATCCAGTGCTCCTACTTTCAGAGCCTGTGAAACAACCAGCGGTGGGAGGAAAATGTGCTGGAGGACACTCCTGGAGGACACTCCTCTCCTCCCTTTATCAAGGGAGATCAAACGCCTCAAGAAACAAGAGGAAGATTAAGGGATGTCTTCCCCCTCTCCTCCTCCTCCTCCAGGCTCGGGCTCCTCGGTGTGTGGGTGTGTTTGCGTGTCTGAGGGTGTGTTTGCGTATCGCAGGCGGCTCCAGCCGGCCTTGCTCTTGTGCAGGTGACCCATCATGGTCCGGCTGAGCGGGCTGGGCTTGGTGAAGCGGTGCCACTCCTCAAACAGAGGCTCCACGATGTAGGAGATGAACCCTGAGAGAAAAAAAAAAACCACAAAACAAAAAAGGTGGGTCATCTCACTGATGACACAGCTCACAGTTCTTGGTGTGTGCACTCTAGTACTCACCGATCTGAATAGCTGGGACAGAGTCCGCCTGCTGGTTACACAGAGGACTAATCTCCATGTCGAACTTTCTCTCCAGGTCACCTGTCAGGTTGACAGACAAAATTCAGAATCCACATGAATTAAAAAGAAACGATCAGAAAATCAGTCGGGTAATATCTTAACACTTTGATGAATGCCAAAACGGTAGGAAACACAAGTGTATTACCCATAATCATCAGAGATGCACCGATTGCAATTTTCTTTTTAGAGACTGTTTTTTTTCCTTAAGAACTATAATTCACAGCATACACAGACATTTTTGTAACTTTTCTTTCATTGAAAATTTAAATTCAATAGTATGTTCATATGAAAACATTGACTATTAAATAACTTACATTTTCTCCGAAATTTACAGGATCTTCTTGTTGTCAAAACCTTGTCTTTAAGGTTGTTCCTCCACGGTCAATTTTGGACTTGCAGGTGTTACAAATTGCGAGCTTTATGTCTTCTTCACTCACGCTGAAGAACCTCCACACAATAGCAACATGTTGTGTGCGATCGGCTGTGACGTTACAGTCTGAGTACAAGACATATCGAGTGGCCAATCGATCGGTGCATCTCTAATTTTCAGATATTAATACACTTACTGTGAAAAAAAACATCCCTGGGAAGATTTACATCCATGTCTGAATCACAACTTAGAAGCTACAATTTTTCCAGATATATCCAACTCTGTGTTTAATAATACAAGGGTGCTTCAAAACCGAACAAACGTGGATGCCAAAAGTCTGCTTAAGTATTTTTCAAGAATATTAACCCTAACCTCTAGTGGTCACTATTACTCTGACCCCCACCCACTCTTCATACCCGCTGAGACCCCACTCATTAACAATGTGAGAGTGTTGAGGTGGAGGTAGCGAGAAGAAAGACAAATGAATAAAAGGAGAGAGAGAGAAGCATGAGAGAGAAGGTCAGAGGAGCGGACCTGAATAAATCAGGGGAAGGGATTTAAGTTATTGTACATTTATGATTTATGATCATTTTTATATGTATGTCTTTCTATAGTGGCATTTGCTCTTAAATATAAATCTGACCTGAAATAAGACTTTGAATCATCTCCGCTGCCAGGTGTCTATTTGCAGCATTAAAGTGCTACATGCGTTGTTTCATACTTGACTCACCCTGCCTGTAGAATTCCTCACACACTCTCTCACTCCACTGTTTGCTCAGCTCCCAAACGCGACATGGATTACAGACGTCTGCACACTTCAGAGCAATCTGAAGGCAAAAAGAGAGACAGATTTAGACACACTGTGCAGCTACTCCAGCTGTACTGTCAAACTTAAGTATACATTGTAGTAAGACTCTTTGTTTAACATGCATGGCTGTACTGTTGTCAGGTGGGTGTGCAGTATACCTGCAGTATAAAGTGCCTGTGTGAGGCGAGCTGAAGGTCCAGGTCCTGGTTATCCAGATGTTCTCTGAAGGTGGACAGGAACTCGTTCTGCCTGCTGATGTCTGTAGCCAGGATGAGAGAGCCCAGCTGCTGTTCCATGTCCTGCCTGCAGAATAGAGGGGGGCACCACTGAGCCAAAAACAACAAAACCACTAATGCCTCTGCTAATCTTCATTCTACCTGCACCTGCAGCAACAGCCATATTTTCTGGAACATACTGTATATGAATTAGTAAGTCATCATACGCTGTACTCTGTATGGTCTAGCCGTCCTACTCCTTTTGTACAGCTATGTGCTTTGTGGAGAGCTCCTGTGGTGGCGTTCTGTAGCTGACCCTGATCTCTGACCTTAAGGTGAGGGGCTGGTGGACAGAAGGAGATTATAATGCATCACGATTATTTAACCACAAACATCACATGCTGATGCGTGTGGTTGTGTGGTGGGACAGTGCATTCCATCAGAGTACCATCAAGGGACAGTTGGTAGACGCTGTAGACAACTACAAGTACCTTGATTTATAATTGTAACACTCAGATGCTGTGTAAGAAGTTGTTGTTGATGATGGTGGTGGTGATGATTATTGCTGCTGTCCTTTTGCACACTGTGGGAATGTGAGTCAGACACCAGTGACTACTGTTGTTGGACTTCCAGCCCACTTGCATTCAGGACACCTTCGATGTCCCTTACTGTACTGTATATCTATGTTCTTTCTTGTAATGTAACGGGCCTTGCCTTAAAACCAACTGCCCTCCACGGCCATGCAGACATACTAAAGATGTGTTGATTTCATAGTCTGTCTACTACAAAGCGCTGACATATGGAATCCTAATAAAAAAATTTGTATAAATTAGGTGCTTCTGTAAAAGGTCTTACGACATGTCAGCAGGCAGGTGGGACAGCAGTCCTGACTCTCGCAGCATGCCCACAGTGGATCTCCAGTGGTGACTCTCCAGCACAGACGTGTTCTGTAAATGAGTTTCATACAGACTCCGTCACCGACTGCACACCGAAACCTTCCGCACATTTTCACCCACACACTGACACCCGTGTGTACCTGGTAGAGGGACGCCAGGTGGTGTCTGGTCTTAATGAGGAAGGCCTGGTTGACTCCAGGATGGTCCACGTCGTGGGCGGCTGCTGCCGTCAGACCCAGAAACACGTCCAGGGGATTCAGCTGCTCTGCCAGCTAGAACACACAAATGGCCGACAGGGGAAATTATCGTTCCTCACGTAGGAGGGACACTTACTGTCATTTCAAATGACACCTGATTGCTAAGCTGTCCTTCAAAGAAACCCTGAAGAGCTGAATTTATAGGGGCTTTCCTCAATAATGTCACCTTGTCAGTTTGTCGATGATGATTGATAGTTGAAGCCCACAGGTATTAGGACAGTGGTTCTTTGTGTTGTTGTGGCTCATCCATATTGGTGAACAGTGTAGGACTTGAGCTCTTTTAATCCTTGGGGGACATATCTTATAGAAAAGAGCAACGATTTCTGCAGGGACTACCAGATGAGGACTTTGCGTCCTCAAATTTGCTCTGGGGTGCTGAGCTAAATAAAATACTTGTCCTAATACTGTACTCTTCTAATTAACTTTTAAAAAATACAGTTGTGTATGTTTTACCGTCCCTTTTGTGATTTAAGTATTGTATAATTTATATAGTATAATAATTGTATAAATACCAAACGCTCAATGAATAAATAGGTACAAGATGTACATTTTACAGTTTTATGGATTATAATTTATAACAGATAAGTGTGTAATGATAAACGCTTAATGGTCAGTAAACAGACAACCTGGCGTATTGATCGGAGAAGCAGCAGGCCTGACATCTCACATTGTGAGTGTGTGCTTGTTGCCTAGAACACACCGTCGTGTGAGCTATGCTGAATTCAATTTACCAATCTAAGTGCTTTTAACAAAATATGTGCATTACAAAGGGCTTTGCAGAGCAACAAAGGGCACTAAATCAATTATTGTATAAAAGGAAAGATGCAGAGAGTCTTAATCTGGTCAGAGGGCTTCAGGGATTTCTCCAGGCTGAGGATGGATACGTGCTGTCGAGTCGAAGTGAGGAGGAATTATCCCGCAGGAGGAGAAGCTAATAGAATATGTCAAGGAGAAGCTCAGGCCTGGTATTGTCTGTGTGTGTGTGTGTGTGTGAATACAGTATTATTCATTACCTTGGGCTCCTTCAGGTAGCAGTACATGGCTTGAGTGACATCAGCAGCATGAACAGCATTGTGATAGGGATTCTGGGAGTGGTAGTCCTCCTGCACCATGCCTGGCAAGACAGAACAAGGTTAAAACCTCATTGCATTATCTCTACTCTCACATTTTAAATCAGATTTTAACGCCATTTAAGCAACACTCTTGAAACTGTCATGTAAATTCTTTAATTTGATTGTCAGAGGACGTTGACATCTCTTCTTACTGGAGAACGAAGCGGGACAGAGGGTGGGTGAGTGTGATCACTGACGCTTGCAGCTTACCGAGAAACCTGTGCAGCTTGATCATGTCCAGCTGGAAGTGGTGAACAAGCCCGTAGACACTGAAGAGATGGCACATCAGAGTCACCAGGCTGTTACCTACAGCACACAAATGAATTCAAGAACAAAATAGGTTTTTAGTGCATTTACTCTGAAAATTACGTTTTACAGTGCACAGTGTGTTGAGAAAAACGCTAACATAAAATAGTTTAACTGTGAGGGACAACAACTTGAACAAAAAGTCATCTCACCATTTGTAAGACGATCGAAGAGGAAAATGTCAAAGTTCCATGAGCCTACTTTTGAAAGCATGTGCTGTGAAGAAAAACAGACGTTTTCAGAAAGTGATTCACAACAACACAGAGAGCTGGAGATACAGGGTACCTGTACCTTAAATGTGTTGGGCTGTGAGTGTGTGTGTGTGTGTTCTTACACCAGCTTGTCCCAGGTAATCGTCGTCCAGTAGATGTAGTGACCCGGGGGTGTGAGGCACCAAACCCCTGAGCAGCCTGGAGGCGTGGCAGTATCTCTGAAAGCTCAGCTGACGCTTCACCTTCCTCCTGCCGGCCTCTACCTCTCCCTGCTGGGCACTGGCTGGAACTATAAATGGTTTACATTAAAACAGAGCAGAACAGATAAGCATCTTAAAAACAGTTTTGTGATTTCTTGAATTATTAAAAAGGGTAAGTTAATTTGGTACAAAACTATTGGATGTAACAGTAATGCCAGCACTAAATCCTCCTTTCATGAAGATTAAAATGTTCCGTTTTGGTTGAAACAGTTTCACAGAGGAGTTGATTCATCTGTGTGGTCGTTTTGAACTTACTTTTGAGGATTCGTAGGTCAATCAGCGGGTAGGAGCCTCGTCGCTCGACCAGCAGCACGCCAGCATGACCGGTGTTCAGTCTGCCATCAGCTGCATACAGACAGAGGATGGGAGAAGAGAAAGACGGATGAAGAAATGTAAACATTTGGCGTTATCACTGACGATAAGCGAGGTGAGTTTAGAGACTATACCTGAGGATGTAGAGGAAGAAAGCAAGCAAAAGGCGGATGTCTGAATGATAAGTCGAACAGACAGCGAGGGGATGAGAAGACAACGGAGCAAAGCATTCCCTGGTGTCGATATCTATGTGCAGCCCCATAAAAGCAGATTTATATCTCTTAAAACCTGCCTCTCTGAAACAAAGTGACCTTTGACATCGCCGAATCATCAGGACATCATGCATCTGGTCCGGGTTTGCCCAAGGAGAAGGGATTTCACGCCACTGTGCAGCTGTTGTGGTGCAGTGGCTGCGTACGTTGTGCGCACACAAGTTATTCTGGATTTTATTAGTGTCACGCCGATGAGGATTACACGCACACACACACACACACACACACACACACAGTAAACCAAGGACTAAACAGAAGGACTGGTCTTCATTTGAAGGCTTTTATTGAAAAACATGACAAGAAAAGATGAAATGTGTACAACTCTTATGTTTTAAGTGCCCATGTATTTCTGACATGCGGACAGCACATTTCATCCTGGACAGGTATCAAGCATCTACTGTAAGATGTTTTTCCATAAGAAATGCCTGCAGAGTCCCAGAAGTAACCATTTGGGTTTTAATCGTTGCCGCGCGAGCACCTTTTTAGACCGAGAGAGTGAACACTGCAGCACAATGGGTCTGTGAATACTTGAATATACTGCCTCTGTTTGAAATGCACAGTTCACACACCCTAAGGCCAGACACAAAACAGAATAGGTCCCGAGCCACAGCGTACACAGGGCCATTTTCACTTGAATAAACTAAAAACTATAAAGAAAATGACTGAATAATTTACAGATCAGATGTGAGGAACTGGAGCGCATTATGTCCCCCGAGGTTGCCAGTTCACTTCACCTCTGCGACTTACGAGAGCAGCTAAACTACCTGTTAATGGGGCTGGAGTCACTGAGGTAACTCCCTCAGAGGGCCAGGTCTTGCCTTGAAAGTGTGTGGGCTGCCAAAGCGGCATAGTCTGCAGGCAAAGTGTGTGTGTGTACTGTGTAGGCTAGGCAGCTATGCATAAAACATACGGTGGAAAAAGTGGCATCATTCCCTATTTCTGCATCTTATAGCCCACCGAACAAATAGAAAGGGCTTGAAGTGACTCAGCCTGTTCAGGTGAGGCAGAAGAGTCCCGCTGGCCTAGTTTGAGCAGCAAAAGGACAACAGGGGGAAAGCCTCTTTGCTTTCTTTTTAATCCTGTGTGCTGGTGGGAAATGCATCATCTGGGAAACCCCCCCGTCCTCCTCCAACACAGACAAACACACACCACCCTCTGGCTGTCTTCCTTCGCTCGAATTCTTTCTCCATACTTCCATTTTATGTGTCACTTCATCCGTCTTTCCACCTCTGGCTTCTGTCTCCACATCCTTCTCTCTCTCTCCTCTGCTACCCCCTCAACCTTCCCATCATCCTTCATTGCTTTGTGTTCAACAACATCGCCTCTCCACATCTGATCCGTCCTCTCGGCTCACTCCCCCAACCCCTCTCCTGTTTCTCTTCCTTTAGCTCTCTGTGTAGTAAATAGGTCATTGTCTCTGCGCGGCTCAGAACTGGGTCATTTAGGATGTGAATCAGTTGGAAAGGGTGTTTGTCGACGGCAGCGCACGTGTCTCATCGTGTGCCCGTGCATAAACATATACACACACACACACTTGCAAAATGAGGTTAAATCCCTGATTCCAAATGCGAAAGCAACATCGCACACTTGGCACACAGCCCACACACTGGCATATGGGACACCGATGTTTACTTGGCTTCGCTGAATCTGTGGGTGTTTACGGCACAAATGGTGCTTCAGGGCTGTTTTCCTTCACAGAAAGAGAAAGTCAGACACATCGCTGCCACATGCATTTGAAAACAAACAGATTAGGTGATGTTTCCTGCTGCCTGCAGCTGCTTCTTCTTCTTTATCTGGAGACATAGTTACATCCACACAGCTGGCTGGAATCTCTGCATACACTTAACTCACTGGCTGTGCGGACACTTTCTGTGCGTTTGCAGTAAAACGACGACAGTGACAGTAATGCGTAAAAGATTGGTACAATTATTTTTTAAATTCACATATTTAAAAAAATCCATGTTTTGAATGTGTGAAGACACATTTGTTAACAGATTTATTCTTGCTCATCACACACTTTTCTAGATCAATAAAAACAGACAGCATTCTTTAGTTTTTAAAGAACAACAGAAAGGCATTTTCTCGACAAACTGATCCGTTGTTTGGTCCATCAAGTGTCAGAAAATTGTTTAAAAAAGGACAGTGGCAAAGCGTAAAGCCCATGTTGACATATTCAAATGTCTTTTTCTTTTGTCCAAACAGCAGCCTAAACTTCAAAGTTGTTCAAGACTTAAATTGATAGAAAAGGGACCAAATCCAACCAGTGAAATTTTGCAACTTCTGCTTTAAGAAATGAAAGGATAATTAACTGATTAACAAAATAGTTGCCGATTAATCCCATATCGATTGGACTAATAATTTCAATTTTATTTTCATGGTTTATTTTTGACTGTTACCGATCTAAACACAAATAAAGGCAGGAAATGTCAAATGTATTTTACACAGTTTTAAATCCTCAACTTCAATGTTTTGCTATATGTATAATGTCAAAAAAGGGGAATTCATAATACATTTAAATAAATGTATTTACGATTAAATAAACCGTTTTTCCTGCAGGCAATGCTTCTTCTACCTAAATGTACCTATTCATACTGCTCTTTTTCAGCACTTTTACAACACGTGTATATGCGATGAAGTCACACACTGCGCTCTCACTCTCTGTAAGCAGTCATCAAGTGAATGAGGTCATCGCGATGCAAAGGGAAAGTCACAGGCGGCGAACAGCGTACATTTGTCAGTTTTCCACCTTATGAGTCAGTTGTTGTCAACAGGTAATTCCCCACAGTATGAATCATCACTTCATCATAACTCTGCAATAGAACATTAAAGATGTATATGTACGTTGTTCCATATCTTTGTGATCAACTGCTTAAAGTAGGCTTAAAGTAGGCCTAGTAAACGTATTAAATCACCTTGTTTATATACGCTGCTGGCTACTCTGCTTGTCACAATCATCACCATGCTCGTTGAATATATGATTGTTATTAATTATTTTCATCACTGTTGATGTTAAACATCAGTTTAATTCACATTAAACTGTAGACAATGTTATTTTGCGTGGCCGGTGTTGATAGACAGACGGACTCGGCCTGATTGATTACATCACGTCAGTGTCATCAGCACGGCTCCGCAGATGGTACGACACTTCGTCTTCACGGCCAAAATCCCTCATTTCACCGTCTACTCGGCGCCTGAACTGCTCTTAATTAACCACATACGGCCAGAGGCCCGCCAGCCAAAGACATACACATGTCCCACGCACCTGTCAAAAATGAAAGCTTGCACCCAGGCATGGAATCAAAAGTCAAACATTCAAATGCAAAAATCTCTTATTCATAAAAGTGACCTGCCAAATAACATGACCACTATTTTTGAAGCAAAAAATAAACAATGAATTAGACACAAGTCATTAAACATCATAAAGGAATCTGCCCCCCTCAAAACAATCTAATGTCACACACACACACACACGCACACACACACACACACACACACACACACACACACACACATGTTTTCCCGTAGCGCACACAGTTAATGGGTCAGACAAAGAAGGAAAACACACATTACACATTAAACATTGATGAGAAATCTCATTCCCATACGTTTTACTGTACATGTAACATGTACTATGTGCAAGTTACCTTCCAGGTGAGCGCTCCTGTCCTCTATGTCCTGCTTCACCTCCTCTACCTCTTCCTTGTCTGACTCCACCCAAGTGCTTCTCTCGGGCCCCCGGGGGCCTCCCCTGCGAGCCCTCCACGCCGCCCTGAGCTGCCGTATGAGAGCGGGAAGCTCCAGGGCCAGCGACAAGCCTCCACAGGTAATAGGAGGCGTCCTGAGAGGACCCCAGACCGGCGAGTGAGGAGCCTCATCCAGACAGACGCCGGCTTCGACCCCAACGCCGAGACCGGCGTCCCGCATACTGAGATCTGGACCCCAGAGCCCCTCCAGCACCGGCACCCTCACGCCAAGAGGCAATAGATGTAGGAGAAGGAGGTGCAAGGAGATGAGAGATCAAAGTAAACAGGGGGGGGGGGGGGGGGGAAGGGGAGGTGGAGAGGAGCTCGCTGTCAGGTATAGGTGAGGACACGCAGAGACAGAAGAAGAAGAAGAATAAAGGCTGCAGAGAGACACTGAATCAGCAGAACAGGTCGGCACAGACAAAACTGTGGGAGTGGAGTGATAAAAAAAAGCAAGTGCAGGAGAAGGAAGCAGGGAAGAAGAGAAGTGTGAATCCGTCTCTATCTCCTTTCTCCCAGAGACGGCCGCTGACTGTCTGCGCTCTCCTTCTGCCGCATTCTCTCTCCTCTCTACTGTCTCACTCGCGCCGGTGTTGTTGTGGAATCCAAAAGCCCCTCCCCTCTTTCCGCCCGGGGCTCGCTTGCACACTCCGCTACATACGCTGCTCCAGCGACGGCAGACCAATAGGATTCGTGTGAACGACCGCGGGGGCTTTGTGTTCACGGACACGAGCTCGCGATCAGGTCAGTGGGGAACGGACAGAGTCATACCTTCCACACACACACACACGTATCTCTGCAACAAATATAATCAAAATCTGAACAGACTTTGCATTTACAGAGAAGAGGTGCATCAAAATTGTGTGCAGAGCAAAATAGTTAATTTGTATTGTGTGTGTGTGGGGCTTGGAATAATTATCTATTTCAATTATTTGTCTAATTGTTTGATCTATAAAATGTCAGAAAATAATGAAAAGTAGCAAAAGACGGCCATCAAAATGTCCCGGACATGTTTATGATTGTTTTGTCCAAAACCTGTAGATGCTTAAGTTACAATGGTATAAATAGTAGAGAAAAGACAGCAATTTGAATTTTATATGACTCCATAGATTCTTAATTGATAAATGAATCCATTCATTGTTTCAGCACTAATTGTGTTTCCAGGTAATCTTGTTGCCAGGTACACTGAATAAGTAACATAATGTCGCGGGAGCAGATTCTAACAGTATATTAAACTTATTCTGCTTAAAATGTAAATAAAACAAATGTGTTCTGAATCAAAGCAAGCACCACTGTATGATCACCAACTGTATCCAGAACTCATCCAAACAGGATGTGTGTATCAAGTGAAGCCAAAAAAGTCATACTTATACTCATCCCTTCACTATTTGTGGTCTGCGGAGTCTCCTATAAACCAGTTTTAACTCGGATGAACTGAACATTTGTTTGAGACTGAAAACACTCTGTCCCTCTTGCCCTTAAAAGTCACTCTCTCTCTCACACACACACACACACACACACACACACACACACACACACACACAC